GAAACCATCAGCTCCATAGCTCCTTTTGTCCACCTGCTAAGCCAGAAATGGTCAACCTATGATACGTGTGTCAGGACATTTTCGATGATCTGTGCCAACGTTCACCAACATCAATCAACAATTATTCTCAAAAGCAGGCCCCGTCCTCACATGATTTTCCAGGCTGTGGAGGCTGTCTGTGAGAATGGGAGGTGCTCTTGAATGGCCTGCAGATCCTCCGGAAAGTCAGGCAAGAGGGCTCTGCTTTTTTCAGTGCCTCTGGAGCCTCTAAAAATTGGGCAAGAATGGGGCATGCTTGGCATAGTTTTCAGAGGCTGTGGAAGAACATTCTCCAAGGCCACAGGGGGCTATCAACAGAAAGATCCCGGGGGGAGTGGTAAGTTATTGGGGCAATTGTACCATTCTCCAAAACTTGCACAACTTGAGAAATGGTGCAAGGAAGCCTTTTTGAGTAGCGGTGGTGGCTCTGGGACTGAGGTCAACGCCTGGGTTTCTACTTTATAGAGAATTGCTTCTCATGCGCACACACATATGAAAGAGAGAGAGAAAGAGAGAGGGATACCAGTAGAGTCAAATTAGGCATTTTCTAAAGTTGTGTTTAGATGTTTAGACCCTGGTCCAGTTAGTCACGCATCATGCTCTGCTTAAAATTCCCCATGCCATTTATGGCTTAGCACAGTTTACCTACCCAGTGATTGTCCCTTGCTTTAAAAAAAAATGTACTGTGTGAATGTTTTCATTTTTTTTTTTTCACTGTAACTGGGGTTTCCACAACATATTCTAACTTTTGACAAGGCCCCATCACAAAAGTTATTTGGAGTCTGCTTATTCTTTCAGATGCTGAATAATAATAATAATAATAATAACAACAACAACAACAACAACAACATAACTACTTTGCTTGACTTTCTAGTTCATGTTGGCTAGCCATGCAACTTTCTCACTGCAACTGTGACTCTGAGAAATAGTAAACAATTCACTTAATACAATGGGATGTTGTTGCTCTGAGTAATAAGAGCAATTATTTTATCACTTTCAGGCTTTCTTTGTGGGTGTGTATTCATTACAGGATTACCCTCTCCAGACTCTGTTCTAAAAATATGCATGGACTAGCTATGATGTGGGAGGCTTTGACCCAAGTTTGATGTATAGCTTGCATATCTCCAACCATGGAGAGGTGTTGCTACTAGTTGGTCTCCTTTCTAATCTAGACCCAGCTAATCTAGACTTGAATCCTGTTAATTACATGGAAGAATAACCAGCAGGAAATGGGTATTGCAGGATAGCTCGTGAAGTTAAGGAATTAGGAGCAAGTCACTTCTCTGCTGTTGCCAAAAGGATTCCAGAAAAGAGTATTTGAAGTCACCAGGAGTAAAGACCCTTTGAGACTGCAGTTTTATTACATCAATGTAGGGCAATGTGAGACATATCTTAAGGTTACAAAAGGCCACTGTTGCCTGGAGGGCTGTGTGTGTTGAACACATCTATGGGGATGAGCATGACAAGTCAGACAGAGACTAACTTGAGCCTGACAATAGCAGCTGAAAACTACAGTTAGATTTGGAGTTGTATTCAAATCTCAGTGCCTAATATTTTATCTAGAAGCACAGAAGCCGGAATTGGGGCAAAAGTTTCCCTGTCCTCAAGCTACATGTAATGGTATATGGCAGGGATAGGCAACCTTGGTTCTTTTATGACTCGTGGACTTCAACTCCCAGAATTCCTGAGCCAGCATGGCTCAGCTTGGAAACCTCTCCCTTTCTCCTCAGCATGGCTGGTTCAGGAATTCTGGGAGTTGAAGTCCACGAGTCATAAAAGAGCCAAGGTTGCCTACCCCTGGTATATGGCAATGACTTCGAGGAGGGGGGGGAAGGAAGAGATGCTGTCTAGAGAATAATCAGAGAAGAGTCAGCATAGCCCCCAGCTTCATAAAGGGCAGAGAAAGAAACCCAGAAAGAAACATCCCTAACTTCTCAGGCTGTGAAAAAGATGGCGGGAGGTTTATACTGTCAGACAGTGCAAGATTCTGATGCAATAAAGTAGAAGTAATTCATCTGGTCCTGTTTCCTGTCTGGGAAAGTTGACATCCATTTTACAAATCTGAAAATACAATTCTCCTGTCACATTTACAGCCTGAGAAGGCAGTTCCTTTCTTGATCTCTGCCTGTTATGCAGCTGGGGGCTATGGCTTCTCTTATCTGATTGTCTGTCATACCTCCCTCTGAGCCTGAATCTGCGGAGGAAAATGAACTGGAACGGGACCCTATGGAGGCTGAGGGAGAGGTGTCTGTGGCTTCAGAGGAATGTGGGGAAGAGCAGGCCGAAGCAGGCCAGGGCCCTTCAGGATTGGAACAGGAGGAACAGGAGAGACAGAGTTCAGGCGATGAGCAAGGTCCCGTCCTTCTCCAAAAGGAACACCTGGAAAGTGAGATTTAAGGAGATGCTGTGGGGAGAGGCATTTGTCGCGCTGGTTCTTGGAGTATTGTGTATTGTTGCTGATCTCTTGTTCTGTGACTTCTGTTTGGAAATCTGGAAACTCGAACTATTGGATTGACTGACCACGTTACTTGTATGTTTAAAGACCTCGGACTGTATTTCAGATTCTCTTTTGAAAACTGCTCAGGCGAGCTAGGATTCAAACAGACTCATTAATGTTTTCTTCCTTGTTATCTCTATGGCCTTGAGTACTTTCTTATGCTAATCAGACTGTATTTCAACCTACTTTCAGCCAGAGTCGGCTGAAGGGGTGTGGGTGTGTATTCTTTTGTTGGAGGCTTGCCAGCAAAAGTGGGAGCATTTGGGGAAAATTTGGAGCAATACAAGAACTGTTTGAATTGCCAGCTGACTGCATTGCCTCTGTGCTGTGCCCTGGGTCATCACATTGTCCCTTAGGCAGCATCCCTTCCCTCTCCCTCATTTCTCAAGGTCACTCCTATATACCATTATATTGTGGGACATCCCAACAGAGGGAGTATAGGCTTGCAATGGCCTTCTATTCAAGATTTGATCTGATCAACCCTGGCTGGCTTTACCTATGCTTCTGCTATGCAACTAGATCTCATTCATGTCCTCCAAATTGCCTGAGAGGAGGATATTAAAGTAGAGTTTCCACCAACATGTAACTTGATTAAGGAACTTTTGGCCCTACAGATAATGCTGGCTCTCTTATAAACTCTAGCCAGTGTTGCTATATTTTAGGATAATGGGAAGCTTTCAGAATTTCAGGAGGCTACAACTTTAAGCAGTGGAACTTCTGTCTTATAGGATACCCTTCATTTGCCTTTATTCCATGCATCTAATGAAATACTACTGCATAGCAATTTATCTACATAGATCAGAATCATGCAAATTGGTGGTATTGCGGGATCTTTGGTGCTGTCCGAGCTTGGTTGTTTTCTTGCAGATGTTTCATTACCCAAACTAGGTAACATCTAGCATTGATGATGTTACTTAGTTTGGGTAATGAAATGTCTGCAAGAAAACAGCCAAGCTCGGAGAGCACTAAAGACCGTTCGTTTCAACCCCCAGCTACAAATATTCTCCTTTAATGGTAAACCATAGCATTCCCTGACACTATGGAAGCAAAGGTTGGACTTTGATGAAGCAAAAATAGGGAAGGGTATTGACCCCTTTGAACATTGGTGCTGGAGAAGATTCCCGACAGTACCATGAACAGTCAATAATACAAACCAATGGATCAGAAAAGAAAACCAGAGTTCTTATTTGAGGCACAGATTCAAATTATCCTACTTCAGACACATTATGTGAAGATCTCGCTCCCTGGAGAAGACTCCAATGCTGGGAAAAGTGGAAGGAAAGAGAAGAGGGTGACCAGCAACAAGATTGTTCCAGTTGAGTCGTAATGAGAGCTGAAGACTCAGTAGGGACAGATCATCATGGAGAAAACCTCAAGTCAACAATGACTTGATGGTGCGTAATCATGACAGGTAGTTCTCAATTTACACTTAGTGACTGTTCAAAGTTACAACGGCACTGAAAAAAGTGATCACACTGACTCTTACAGCATCCCCATGGTCATGTGATCAAAATTCAGACACTTGCTGTCTGGCATGCAGCCAGATTTACTTAACAACCATGTTACTGACAACTGGAGCAAGAAAGGTTCTAAATGGGGCAAAACTCACTTAACACTTGTCTTGCTTAGCAACGGAAATCTTGGGCTCAATTATGGTCGTAGGTCAAGGACTACCAGTATATGGCAACATTATATGTTAGTCTTTCAGGTGTCACAAGATGCTCTTATTAGAGCAAAGTTGTTTTCCTTCTTCACGGTCTCGCCCATGTGTGTAGTCTCCTCCAACCTTTATAGCAAGGGAATTGTAAAAATAAAAACAAACAGGAAAGTGGTTGCTTGATCCAAAGCCAAAAATGACCCAGTCTGTAAAAATAGAAACTTGATACAACGCAAAGGAATTATCTCGTGGGTATATCTGCATTACATCTACGGACAGATATGTGAACAGAGACAGAAAAATTATTTGGTGATAGTGTTTTTTTTAAATCCCATCTTCCTTTATTCCTCATTGCTTGTAGCATATAATTGTAAACATCTTTTGGGAGAGTTGTGGGGAGGGTGGGGAACTGCCCTCAAAGCCCTCTCGAAAAGTTCTTAACAACACTGTTACATGGAAAATTAAAAAGATTAGGAATCTCTCCAAAGGAGATTTTAAACATGTTTGCCCAGCATTTCCTTTCTGTACGAAAGAACCATCCTTCCCTTAACAGAAGAGCATAGTTTAATCTCACAAGTCTTGCCTGGAGTGAAGGTGGCTGTGTGTATATACACGTATACACACACACACATAGCAACCACACATTTTGTCTGTTTTACAAAAAAGAGATGAAACAAAACTTTATATATATATACATATATATATATAAATATATGTATATATATATACGTATATACATATATATATGTATATATATACATATGTATATATATATACATACATATACATATAATATAGTGTGTGTGTATGTATTTATATAGATTTCATATTTAGAAGGGACACAAATGAGGTCTCGTGTTTTATCATTTCTGTACACATGACACTACACTGGGCAGTGCTAGGAGGAAACAGATGCAGTCACTTGTCTTTTTTTTTTTAACTAAAAACAGAGAATAATATAATTGTAACAATTAAACTAAACCTCATAGCTTTGCCATCAGATGTAAAGTCCCCTTCGGCCAAGTGTGGAAATAAAATGAGTTGAGCAACCCGTTTGATTTAATTTGGCATTCTATAGACAGAAGAGTCCTGATGTTTACTGATCTCAAAAGAAAGGATTTTTTCCATTCAGGGTGTCCAAGACTTTGAGGCTTCCTCGAGAGGGGCATGTAAAGTCATAGTGGTTTATTGGGGTAGGGATGAGCCCAGGAAACCTGGATATCTCATCCACTTTTGTAGCTGGTTCGCCTGTCCCTTAATCGCAACTCCAGAGCCGGTGGATGAAATGAGAAAGGGTTAAACTGTGTGCAATCATCTGCTGAAAAATCTATTTGTGTGTGACCGAGCTTAGGCACTGAGATTTGCCTAAAGAGCTCCTCGGTCATCCATATCCAAGTCCCGTCCAAATGCCACACAGACAGTGGTTTGCAGCGTGATGGTCTCTGACTGAATTGCCTTTTGGATCAAGAGTTCATCCACAAGCCAAACCCTAAGATACAGGTGTAGAGAGAACGTGCGTGCACATGTAAGTGTTTGTGTGTGCAATACATCTTCCAACGTGCTACAGAGCCCTTGTGTCTTCCAGGTATCTATGATGCCCAGTTCAACATCTTGGCTGCTGTCCTGTTCTGGGTGAGGGGCAGGCCATGCCCACCCAGGAACTCTCCTTTGCGCACCCAGAACCATGGTTAGTCCCTGCAGGTGGAAAGTGCTCAACGCAGACCTTTCCCTCATTCCAAACATCTGTCGTTGGATTATTTGTTTGCCCGGTTCGGGAAGACAGGGGGTCTGGGTTGAAAAACCAGGGTGGCCCTACCACCTCGGTGGCGGGATCTTGGAGAAGAGCACAGCGCCCTGCTGTGGATTTTACAAGGTGCCGTGCTGAGATTCATATTTAGAGAGGATGCTGCGGTAGCGGGTTAGTTCCTGGCGGATATTGGCCACTTCTTGGCGAAGGACCGCATTCTCCTTCTCCAAGAAAGCCGCCCGAACTGTGATTTGATTCTCTTTCAGGCGGCGTGCATCTCTTGAGCGTTTTGCTGCCTCATTGTTCTTGTACCGCCTGTTCCAATATTTTTCATCCTGGTGCAACATGTAAAAGGAGGGGGGGTCAGGGGGAGGGAAAGAAGAAAAAAGTGGCACGTCAAAGAAAGTATCACATAAGCATTGCACACTAGATAATTCTAACCATTTTCCACAAGGCTCTGCGCAACTTAAATGTTCATAGGCAGTTCCTACACGGACTTGACAACAGTTGACTGTCCAATTCAGGGTGAGATTTGTGCTCTTAAGAAGCAGTACACTGTACATGAATACCAATGGCCATATCCCTGGATGGTTTCATCTTCCAGGCTGAGGAAACTCATGGTCAAATCCCCATTCAACCACAAAACGTCACTATGGACGAGTGACCTGAAATCTAAGGAAGGTTTGGCTTGCCCAGATAGGAGACAGTTCTTACTTGATTTTGGATAATCCAGGAAAGAGCAAATTGTGCCAAGCGGGATTTGAATCTTGCAAGTGAAGGCTGTAAATGCAATCATCTACCAAAAGGCAAGACCTTTAGATGGCTTCAAAGATTTAACTCACCATGTTTTGTATCCGGATAACTGAACTTTCAGAGCCTTGTCATCCAACACTTACAGTAATATCTGTGTGAATGCATTCTACTCTCCCCGTGAGCTCAAAGTTCTATGAAGGTCACAGAAGACTGCCACGTTCCAGTAGGCCCACAAAAATAGTTTAGCAACAGGCATTCATCCACTGAAGTGGATTCAGACTTGGTCCCACTTAAGAGTCAATGAAATCCATTGGCCTTCCCTCACTTGATTTCAGAGCCTAGGTACAGTTAAGTCAGCTCCAGCCAATTCGTTTCAATGACCTGGGCTATGAACAGATGGAGAGATCGATATAACTGGAGCAAAATGCACAAAAATCTGGCTTTCTTCTCTCTTTAAATAGTAGGGGAAGGGAAGAACTGGACTGACACCATGATGCCATTAAAAGGAGGGTTAGGGGTATTCTGCTATTCTTATACAACATTCTCCTCTTTCTCAATTTTTTGTTTCCCATATTAGAGGGGATTGAAAGGATACAAATGCACTGTTTTACTTTTATGAGGCAAACAACACTAGGAAAGGAGACCAGGCATCCCCAGCCCTCTGCCAGCTGCATGGGCTTAACGCACGCAGTTGGCAGAGGGTTTTAAATGGATTTTAAAGGTACCTTTAGGTCCAGTGTTTGGATCTAAAGTGGGAAATCTGGGACAGTCTCTCTTGCTGACTGATTGATGGCAGGCTCCTTTAAAAAAAGAGACTGATAGCTATAGTGAGCACACCCACTCTGGATTTCCCATTTTTGATACAAATATTCACTCGTTTTGAATAAATTAGTTTGGTCTGGTGGTTAAGGCATCAGGCTAGTAACCAGGCGACCGTGAGTTCTAGTCTCACCTTAGCCATGAAATCCCGCTGGATGATATTCTCTCTGTCTCTCTGTCTCTGTCTCTCTCTCTGTCTCATAGTAGATAAATAAAATACAGTTTAGCTTTAGATAGTGTGCGGTATGATGCCAGCTACTCAAAAAGTCCCCGGCGGAAGCTATCTGGCTCTTTCCTTTTGCTAGTGTGTCTTTGTGATTCATTGTATTGTGGGAACTAACTAGGGCCTTGTCAAGTTGAGCTTATACAGCCATCGTATTAAACCATCATGTGGTTTTAATTCTCTGGACATAAAATTTCATATGAACATAGGATTGCTGTCATATTAACCAGGGATGATAGGACTGGCACAAGCAATTTACATAAGCAAAAACTGTAACATCTAAGCCAGTGTTTCTCAACCTTGGCAGCCTGAAGGTGGGTGGACTTCAACTCCCAGTATTCCCCAGTAAGCTTTGTTGGCTGGAGAATTCTGGGAGTTGAAGTCCTCCCATCTTCAAGTTGTGAAGGTTGAGAAACAGTGATCTAATTCTAAGCCAAAATATACTAACTTATCAACTGCAGTGATTCACTTAACAAATTCGGCAAGAAAGGAGGTAAAATGGGGCAAAACTCACTTAACAAATGTCTCACTTAACAACAGAAATGTGGAGCTCACTTGTGGTCATAAGTTGAGGACTACCTGTATTTTGTTTTTATCACAAATACTCTGTAAACCCAATTGTTAAGTGAATCTCTTTGCCCAATGGCTTTTCTTGTCAGAAGATCACAAAAGGGGATCACATGATCCCAGGACACAGCAACGGTCATAAATATCAAACAGTTGGCAAGTGTCTGAATTTTGATCACATGATCCTGGGGATGCTGCAAAGGTCGTAACTGTGAAAAATGGACATGTCACTTTTTTCCCCTGTGCCATTGTTAACTTTGAATGGTCACAAAATGAACTGTTGTAAGTCAAGGACTACCTGTACATGGGAGTTATTAACTGAGCATAATTAAAACCAATCTCCATTTTCATCCTGGCCCTGCCTACTGTTAAAAGTGCACCTTTGGGTGACCCTCTAAACATGATCCCTGTCCTACCAGAAACAGTGGGTTCTTGGTTTAGACTAGTGTTTTTCAAATTGGCTAGGGCAGTGATGGCGAACCTTTTAGAGACCGAGTGCCCAAACTGCAACCCAAAACCCACTTATGCATTGTTGGGTGCTGGGTGGGTGTGGCCCATTGGGTGGGCGTGGCTGCGGTGGTAACGGCAGATTGGGTGGGACTAAAAAGTTCAATCAATCAATTCCAACTTTGCAAGATCTTTTTTTCCCCGCGAGAAATTGAAATTGACTGATTTTTTTTTATTTTTTTTTGCACACGGCGGCGGAGGCCTAAAGCGAAAAGGGTTTTATAAAACCCAGCTGAAGGCCTAGGACTGGGATGACGGCGCGCGTGCCCACAGAGAGGGCTCTGAGTGCCACCTCTGGTACCCGTGCCATAGGTTCGCCACCACTGGGCTAGGGAATTCTGGGAGTTGTTGTTCTATACATTTTCAGTGGTGCCAGACAACAAAGTAGTCCATCCATGCCAAGAAAAAAGAGAGGAGAGAGAGAGAGAGAGAGAGAGAGAGAGAGAGAGAGAGAGAGAGAGAGAGAGAGGTTTAGGATCATGTACATTCTTTTATTTTTATTTATGTGTCAGTATTTTAATAAACACCAAATAAATATTGGTGGTGGTATGTGCCGCTGTTTGCCCAATTAAGGAGGAATGGATGGTGCCTTCCCAAGTGACGTGCAGATTTTGCCAAGAAGTGTGAAGTGATACTGATGGGGAGTTTAATATCTGCCCGGAAATTCTGCAAAGCTTCCTAATTTGTCTTCTTGGCAACATTCTCCTTCAAAGAGCAGAGAAAAAGTTTAGCGGCCATTTGAAAAACAAAAATGAAACATTATAGGCAGGTGGCCCAGAATACTAGAAAAAGTGCCAGGAAATAGAACTGAAAGAAGGAGCTGAGTAGACGAAGGATGCTAGAAATAATAAATAAGAGTCTTTTTAGATAAATACAGAATAAAAAAAAAGATTTGGTAAATTAAGCAGGTGAGCAAAAATGACAAAATGGTAACGAAGAAAAAACAGATCTATTCAACTTCTATTGTGACTCCGTCTTCTCTAACTTGAGACGTGGAAATGAATGAACAGGACTGAGATAAAGTAAGGAATTACAGATAGTCCTCAACTTACAACCATAATTGAGCCCAGAGTCACAGTTGTAAATCTTGCAGGCTGTTAAGCAGGTCACCAAAGGACCATGTCTGATTCTATAACCCTTTTTTGTGATGGTCATTAAGCAAACATTGAAGTCACTAACTAAATGGACACAGTTGCTAAGTGAACACTGCAGTTATTAAGGAAATGCCATAGCTGTTAGGTGAACTCACTGTACCCAATGGGTCGTGTTTGTTGCCAAAAAACAATAAATTGTGGTCATGTGACTGCAGGACACTGCACACACCCATAAATATGAGCCAGTTCCCAAGTGCCCAGATCATGTGACCATGGGGGATGGGGGGGTGTTGGAATTTTGAAACCCAGTTCTAAGAACCTTTTGAGGGGGTCCGTTGTAACTTTGAAGAATTGCCAAGCTACCAGTCATAAGTTGAGGAATACCTGTAGCCTGCAGTATTTGGCTCAAAAGCAGAAAACATGTTTCAGAGTAGGTGTTACTTGCTCTCACTGTGGGCAGCTCCTTGATTCTTTCACCTGAACTCCTTGTCACTATCTCCCTAACTCAAACACATCTCCCAACCCAGGAAAAGTTCTGAATACACCTGTATTGGATCCAATAGCACCTTTTCCACTCTGTAACCAAATATTACACATTTTTAGACAAGAATGCTTCTTTACTTCGAACGGGTTTCGATCTCTAGAGCCAGATGAATAGCATTCTAGAGCAGAGGTACCTTTTGGGCACCAGGGACCAGTTCCGTGGAGAGAGGTTTTTCCACGGTCCGGAGAGCGTGTGGTTTTGTGTGCTGCCTGCATCTCGCAGATGGGGCTTTACTTGTTTGTGTAGACCGGTTGCTGGCATGCCGTGGCCCGGTACCGGTCCACAGACCAGGGGTTGGGGACCCCTGTTCTAAAATACTAAGTCACAAACCTGTCAGTCTAGCACTGATACCTAGGAAGATCCTAGGGATCATAAAGCAATCAGTCTATAAGCACCCTGAAAACAATGCAATAATTACCCAAAAGTCAAGATGGCGACTTCAGGATCAAGCTTTTCTAAATTAATTTTACTTATTTGATTGTAACTTCCTGGTCGATGATGGGAATGCCAAGGAGGATTATTTTCAGATTACACAACTAATAGTTTCACTACATCCTACACAGGTCAGATTCCCCAGTCAAATTTGCAGCCAGTTCTTCAAGGGCATTGCACTTGGAGAAAACAGTGAAACCAAACCAACTGGTTTGAGAAAGATCAATGAACACGATCCTGGGACAAGAAACAAAGTTCTATAAAGACGGAATGGAAGAACAGGGCACAGTGGGGCTAGGACAGCCCTACAGAAATACTTTCAAGGATGTCATGCATGACCAGAATGGCAGAACATGGAATAAATGGGTTTACATTACAAGAAGGCTTTGTAGATTAGAAACAAACATTTAAGAAGAGTAGAACTACTTTGGCAGTAGAACATGACGCCTGGAGATGGCGTGTTCTCCTTCACAGATGCATTCAAGCAGAAGCTGAAAGCCCCTCCACTGAAGAAGCCTTAATCTGGTTTCCTGCACTGAGCAGGGAATTGGACTCGATGGCACTAAATATCCAGTGCATGTTTCTTCAACATCCCCTCCCTGCAGATGTGCGAGATTCAACTCAGAATTCTTAGCAAGAGACATGAAACTGCCCTGGGTCTTCTGACCGAGGGTGGGATATAAATCAATAAAGAAACGAATGCTAACAAAGGCATTCCGAGAGTCCAAGGATAGGCATCATAGGTAGTGAGGGAAGTTAGCCCAGAGAAGGAAATATTAAAAGGGCAGAAAAATATATTTTTCCTCAAAAGGATTTTTAAAACCAGAAATCAATTCTGGCCTCAAATCTCTTTGGTCCAAGCAGGAGATGTACAAATGCAGATGTAAAACCATCAGAAAGTTGGAGCCAGAGAACTCAAGAAGACAAAGAGAAAATCTGCATACTTCACCCAAACTCTAAGTCATTAGCCCAGCCCTAGGGAAGCAGGATATGATTTTGGGACATAATAGGACTAACCCATTACCATCAAGTATACCAGAGAGGCATACCTAGGCTCAGGTCAGAATATGTGACACAGGAAATAGCCTCAAAGTTCATGCCACAGGAACAGGAAACTTCCAAACAAAAGGCTAGAGAGGGTATAAAAACCCTTTGCCCATGTGCTCAGTGTCATGA